TGACGAACGCACCGTGTTGGGGAAATGAGGTGACTGTTGGTCTCAATAGCTGTGCTGAGCAACAGAAATCCGGGAAAAGATGACAGACTTTTAGTCAAGACCTTGCACCTCCCTGTAGTGACCCAGCTGGCATCGCCTTGGCCCTATCTCCTGGGTCCCGGGCACCAGAGTCACCAACCGCTGTGCTGCGACGCATCCATACACCACGGAGCGCACACTCAATGGTTTGTTCAGTAAATTCATGTGATGCAATCGTCACACAATCCATTTTCAATCGTGTTCTTCACCCCGATGCACCAGCAGTCACTCCCGCCTCCTGTCTTAGACTCAGGCCCACAGGACATCTCTCTGGACAGAACGTCGTCACTGCAGCCACAGCGCACACAGCTCACAGCTCCCCTCATCACTTCACCTGACAGTGAGTTATTTGGACACGTTGTGTTCTGTGTGGCCACATGCATGCAGGGAGGGCAACCACAAGCCTTCCTGAGATGTCAGCCGGGGAAACGCCCCCGAGCACTGGCACCACCGCTGGGCACCGCGAGTGCACGGCTACATGACAGCAGAGCCCGGCCACACCCCCCGCAGGAACCACACGCACCCTGTACACAGCCGATAGGCCCCTGGTGACGAGTCACATGACAACCAGACCCCAGAAGGGGAACACGGCAGAAAATGCACTGACGGCTGCTAACCACCCCCCCACCCCCACCCCGCAACCTCCGCGCAGGAAGGATGATTCCGTGGCCAGTGGGCAGTGCTGCAGTCTCTCAGGGCAGGAAGGATGATTCCGTGGCCAGTGGGCAGTGCTGCCTCTCTCTGGAGCCCTTTATGAATTGACAACTGCCTGTCTTTAGCCCGGGGACAGAGATGAGTCAAATGGCTTTTAAAATTGACAACTGCCTGTCTTTAGCCCGGGGACAGAGATGAGTCAAATGGCTTTTAAAAACCATGACTCAAGGTTTCATCCCAGCGGGAATGAGCACGGAACTCAGAGACCCCCGGCCCCAAGAAGGCCGCCACGTGGTGTGTGGCACGGAACTCAGAGACCCCCGGCCCCCATAAAGGGTTCCCCGTGGGTTGTTGGGTCTTGAAGCCATGTTCTGGCTAATCGCCACCCTCAAAGCGGGAGGCACAGGGGGTGTGCTTGGGGCAAGAATCACTACTCACCTTATGAGCCGGAAAACCGTGTGGGCAATTTCCATGAAGAAAGGGATGGGCACCCATAAAAAGGAGGAGCTAGGATTCAGGGAGGGCGGGGGTGGGGGGGGGGGGGAGCCGGCAGAGCAGCAGCAGAGGGAGAGGGTCAGAGGCCGCACTCAGAGTCTAATATTAGCCCCAGGGCTGTTTACGCTTTGTTGCTAAGGAAAACTTGGAGCTTTGGAAAACGAGGCCAGTCCACTGTGACAGCTGCCACCTGGCTGCTCCCCGTCTCCGTAGGGCTCTGCCAGCCGCCCTCTCAGAGGGCCCCTCTCTCAGATGGCTGCTGCTCTGGGAGCCTGGACAGGGTGGTGGCAGGAATTTCAGTGCCTGGGGCCGAAGGCCACCAACCCAAACCCTCATCCTTAACCCCTAGAGTGCCGGGGAGCGCGATTACGCTCCTCCTGTCTTTCGCCAAAAGTGCCAGGAGCGCTATCAAAGCTTCGAAATGGCGTCCAGTTCTAAGTCTGCTTTTATTAGTGATGATGTTATTGCTAAATATGTCAATGTAATAAAGGTTTCCTTAAGTTTTTGAATATGTAACTTCATTTACTTGTGATTCATAATTTTTTTCCTAAACTGCTATAAAATCAGCAAAAATGCCTTGGCAATTTTAGCATAGTTCCTAGGATATTGGTTGGCATGCAAAGGGTTAAATCTCGAGGAGGAAATGGTTGGTGAGCTCCGTGAGGAGGAAGAGGTGTGACAAGGGCCATCACTCCACTCAGGGCCTCAGCATGTCCACCCCACAGGCCTAACTCCCACCCCTCCATCGCGTGACGAGGAGGCATGAGCCCACGCCAGCTTTTCAGGGTGAAAAAGGGACTTTGTAAATCCAAACTGTGCCCTTCTTTAGAGAGAGAACTTGTACAAGTCCTGCCCTGAGCTTCTGCAGCAAAATCATAAATGACCCAGAACCCTGCAAACCTCGCGTCTGGATGGACTGTGTTTACTCCTCAGGGCTGACGGTCGCTCACAGACTCACGTCACGAGAGACTTGTCCCTAGAGTGCGTTGTTCGCGACTCCTTCTGCGCCCACCCCATCACAGTGGTCACACTTTATCACTCTGCATTTGGGAAATGCAGGAGGAAAGAGAAAATACAAGTTGCCCACATCCCTCAGAACAGCCCAGGGCGGCCACTCCCATGCTGGCCCTGTGGTGTCCCAGGCACCCCTTTGGCTCTGGCTCCGCCCATTAGTGGCCCAGCTGCAGCTCGCCCCCAGGGAAAGAATGGGGTGCACAGGGAGGCTGGTCGCTGGCCACCAGGTGTGCACACCCACCGGCCGCTGGAACACAGGTTCTCGGAGAAGCAGCCAGTTGTGCAGGTCACCGTCAGACCCGCCCAGCCCGCCTGCTCCGGTCATCACCTCTGAGAGACCTGTCCACAGGCCACTTTTAAAGCCCAATTTATCCCAAAGGCTATTCATGCTTCCAACTGGACTTGTGCGCCAGGCCTCGCAGCGACCCCCAGCGCGAGCTCCCCCAGACGGCACCCGCCAGCTCTTTCAGAAGGAAACGTTAGCTGTTTTCAAAACATGTGATTTTTTTCCCTTTCATGTTTGTCTAGAGGGAGAAATTAAACAGCTTTAATTCTGTAACAGCTTAAATGATATGTCTGATTGGATGAACTCAAACGAGCTGACACACCCGGGTCCCCGCAGCTGGGAGAGAAGTTCAGTTCCCGGCAGGGCACCCGTCTGCGAGGCAGGCTCCCGCCTTGCTCGCCGTAGTCTCCAATGCACACCCAGTGGAACCTGCCTTGGTGTCCGTGATAAAACAGAACGACTCCACAGACGCAGAAACTTGGAAAATGCTGCAAATTCTACCCCCGCACCCCTTCCACACCAAGAGGACCGACCGGCAGCTCTGAGTCGCCCGCTAAACTTGTGTGACCGACTTTCACACATTTATCTGGCGCAAAAACGCTTTTTCCTTCATCTAATCTATTTCACACAAGGCCTGCTCAGGTGTCCTGAGCGCGGCCCCTGAACTTCCTGTTCCTAGACTCGCCCCAGCATCACTCACTGGAAGGGGAGCTGCCTCTCCCAGACGCCTGCTCAGTCTCCTTCGATGGGGTGAGGGTGAGCGCTGAGGTCTGGGGTTTCTTTCTGGAACGAGCGCGTTTGCACACTGACTGGTGGCGGCTGCACAGATCCGTGCACACACTGGAAACCGCTGAGCTGTGCACGTCAGGGGTAAATTGCATGGTACGTGAACTGTGTCTATAAAGCTGTCAGCACGGCTCCTCCAGGCGCCCCGTGGAGCTGGCTGTGAGCCGGCTGCACCGTCCGCTCCCTGCCTATCCCCAGCGCTCCAGGCCTCGGCAGTGCCATCCACTTCCTTCCCACCCGGTGCTGACCGCACCTTCTGCCTGGATGCTCGTCCTGCCTCCGCCTGGCCTCGCCCTGAGCACTGCCTCTCAGGCACTTCCCCCTGGTCCCCAGAATTCTCCAGCTCAGTTAGCACCCCTCCCGTTTCTTCTCATGACGGGTTTCAGAGCCGCCTTTACGACAAATACCCAGACACCTGGACTGGTTGTGTCTCGTCGGAAAGAGTCTCTGGCTTGTTTTGCACAAATACACACTCACAAAATAAAATCTTCCTCTGATATGCACTCATTTTCTAGTCTGAAGACAGGGATGACCGGGGCCTCAGTTTAGGTTTAGGTGAGTCTGAAACTCCCAAGTGGAGCGCCCCCCTCGAGGGGAGACTGGCCGTCCTCCTGGTCATATCTCCCCAGGACCCTGAGTCCCGACCCCGCTCCCTCCTACCTTACATCTCCCCGTGTTGGTGAGACCACTCTCCAGGCAGAGACACCGCAGAACCTGACACGCAGCACAGTCACCATCCTGCTGTCACCCATTCCTGCTCTGGGATTCCTCTCCAATGAATCAAAACTTAAATCCCCTCGATTTCTGAGCCTTTGATGCCCTTACTGCCTTTCTTAGCCGCCAGAGGTCCCTGTGGACGACCCTGAGCAGAGCAGCGGGTCCCTCTCGGGTCAGGCTCTCCATCACAGAGTGGGACACTGTCTGCCACGACCTCACAGACAGACAGACAGACAGACAGACAGACAGAAGGGGAGAGCTGTCTCCCTGACAGAACAGGCGTCTCTCTTAAACAGTCAGAAACAATGCAGATCTCCACCGAAAACCTCCTGGCAAATCCAAAACCCAAACTGTAATGGAAAGGCCTGCTTTCATCAACGTGTGAGACTGGGACGACGTCCCCCCGCCCCCCTCCCCCCGGAGAACCCAATGAGCCCGGCCGTGACGCACCTCCGTCTCTCCCTGGCTTCCACGGAGGAGTCCGGCCCAGGCGTGGACAGCAGAGGCGCACTGGTGACGCCGTTGGCAGTGCTGGGCGGGGGGCGGTTGGTGATCACACACAGAGGGGTGCTCGAGGAGACGCTGTCTGCTTTCTCCGCTGTGGAGTCGGCCGGGGACCTGTGAGGAGCCCTGAAACCAGAGGGATAGCAGAGGACGTTCAGGCGCGGGCGCCACCAGCAGAGCCGGCGCGAGACAGGCCGTGCGGAGCAGCTTCTTGCTCGGACCCTGTCTGCTGCTGCTGTTTAACTCTGAGCCCTTGGGTCTGAGGACGGTGTGAGCAATTCAGTCGGACCGCCTCTGCGAGGAGGGAGGTTTTACGAAAATGTTTTCTTTGCTCGAGGTTAAATTTTTTTAAAAACTTAGCTCTGGCAGCAGGCGAAGCGGAGCCTGGGCAGGAGCTTTAATGACCCCGCACACCGCCTGGTCCCTACGCGCAGAGGCGGCCGCTCCACCCCTGGACACGACTCTGCGGTCCTCACTCGTCTCCTCCAGCCCCGCACCCCTCAGCCTGGACGGGGAGGTCCCCTCGGCTGTGCAGAGACGCCTGCTGCCTCTGCCCGAGCCCCCAGCCTGCACGGGGACCACGCGGGGGGCTGTGCTTACTGCAGCCCAGGACGGTCACCCTCCCTCCCCCAGCTAGCAGCTGCGCTCTTTCCAGGAGCCAAATGCCTGCCTGCCTGTCCACAACTGCACTGAGAATCAGAACAAAACGAGCAGGGCTCGAGATGCACAGCCTGCAATTACCGTCATTTACACAAAACAAGATCTTTGTTTCTCAGCAAAGAGCGAGTCCAACCACCGGCTCTCCCCCCAAAAAGCCGCCAGTGGTGATATCACAGCTCGTTGCTGGGGTAACGGATCCAAAACGGACTCTCCCAGAGACAGAAAAAGCAGGAGCATCAGGGCTGCTAAAGGGCTGTCTGTTTGCGCCTCCTCACGATGACCAGGAATGCTTACGAGCAGCTGGAAGCTCACTTTCCAACGGCCACATGATCAGAACGAGCGCAAAACAAATCATCAGACCCTAAGGTCTCACACGGCTCCTCGACGCAGACACAGAGCAGACAGCTCTCAAGTGGGACCAGAAGACACAGCCAGCATTCAGAGGCAAGCAAGCCCTCCAGCCTCGAGATGTCGACAGAAGGGCCAGTGAAGTCACACTGACCCAAACCTGACCTGCAGGCCTCCTTGGGTCAGTAATGTGTGGTTTCCCTGCAGCCCACGCTGCAGAGATGGCCAGGACTTCACCGCGACACGTCGTGGGCCAGAACTCCCGCGGCTACTGTGATTTCACAGAGAGCGCGAGAGCTGAGAGGACCAGAGGCTTCAGGCAACGGGGGCTGCATCTCTGCCAACGTAAGCTCTCTGATCATCAGCTGTAAAATGGGGGTCATGTACCTTCACACGCAAGGTCGCGTGACACTTCAATGAAACACTGTGTGCAGACACCTAGGATGGGCCCAGGATAAGAGCTCCACGGAAACAGACAGTGCAGCAGACAGGACCCTGAGACGGACAGACTGGGCCCGCAGAC